GTGAGCCTTGGTTTCCTTGTCTGTAGAATGGGGGAAAGATGACAATCATAGTATCTACTTGTTGGGTTATCAGGAAGGCTAGATAAGAGAATGTATATAAAGGGCCTGGTGCACACAAGCACCCAGCACATGGAAGATACAACTCACTTCAGGGCCACTCTGAACTCCCTTAGGATTCCACGTCTGAGCCATGTATTTGGAGTGCAGCACATGCCACCCTAGACCATTAGTGCTCCCAGTGGCCTGTGCTGTTTCCCCAAATAAAAGCCCTGGCCTGGGCACAGGGAGCCTCAACTATGAAGCCTGGCTCTATGCTCCCTCCTCATGTGACCTGACAAGTCCCCTCCTTCTAGGCCTCACATGATGGGATGAGCTCTCAGTTTCCCAAAAGATTGGAACCTGGGCTACCCACCCCGCCACAGCCCCAGTGGCGACCTCAGTGCCAGGCACACAGTAGGTAGGTCCTCAAGTGGCTTGAGAGAGCAGAGGTGGAGAGAGCAGGGAGAAGCAGACAGGGAAAAAGAGGGAAAGAAAAAGGATTCAGGGAGAGGGGCAAGGGGCTGCGCCCATCCAGTTCAGAAGCGCAGACCTGGGGAAAACTCTGCACCTATACAAGCCAAGAAGGTGGTTTACAGCCTGTGTTTATTATACTTACTGTGTCTCCAGCTGCCTGAATCTGGACAAGCCAGGTCTGTTCTACTGTGTACCAAGGGCTGGGTGAGGTGTTGGGGGTTCATGTGGTGAACACTCGGCTACTGCAGCCCGGGCAGGAAGGCAGCATGCAGGGAGTTGAGGGGCCAGGTTGTGTCCGAGTGGTGGGAGGGCAGTGTGTGCTGAGGGTGGGGCTCCTCTGCTCAGCATCTCTGTGACCTTAGGCAAGTGACTTTCCCTCATGCTTGCAATGAAGCTAACGAAAGGAGGCTTACGCAATGCCTGGGAAGGGCCTGGCATGTAGTAAATGCTCGATAGGTGTTATTAAAATTATTATTACATTATTATTATTGTGTGTCTGAATGTGACCTGCATGTGTGAAGCAATGAAGGTGCAGTCTTTAGTTAAGAGAGAGGGAGACAGAGTGTGTGTGTGTGTGTGTGTGTGTGTGTGTGTAGGGTAGAGAATGCTGCTGGTCGTAGTTGACTTTATGTGCAAAGTTAAATGAACGTCTGCATGTGAATGTCAAGAAAGCTGCTAGTTCCATGCAGTTGGGATTCTCGGGTTCCAGGAAGCCTTGAGAGGTCACCCCCAAGTCCATTCAACTCCTCCAGCCTTCTCCGAGTAGCCACAGCTCATGCCGCTTTGTCACACATCCCCGTCCTCAAAGAGAAGCAAACAAGTCTTCTTTAGCTGCTCACTGCAGGGCTGAGCTGCTCTTGCCCTGGCCAGGGTTTCCAGTCTGTTGGTAGGAAGCTGGGCTGTCACTGCACAGTCCCCTGCCTGGAGCAGTGCCCGTGACATGAACATCCTGCCCTTGTGCCTCTCACAGTCCCCACGTGAGTCACAGAAGTCCCTGCAGTGGGCATACTGTAGAGGACCTGCTGTCATTCACAGACTGTATAAACTGAAGGAGGCTGTGGTACTGCCCCCCACCCCGTCACTCCCAATGGGTAAAGTGTGGACCAGACAGGACCCAGCCAAGGTCCCCTCTGTTCCATTCCAGGACTTCCCCACCATGAGATGCCCTCTAGAGAGAGATCAATGGGGCGAGATATTTCTGGGCTCCCAGGCCAACCTTGTCTGGCCAGAGTGCCACCCCAGCCACAGGTGAAGGTGAAGGGCCTTGCAGTACCACTAACCACCTTCCAAGGTGGGGTAGGGGCATGGTGGACATCGCGGGCAGCTCTGAGGGAAGGACATAAGCAGAGGGAAGAATGAGGGCCGGCGTGTGTGAGTTCAGTTGGTTCATAGGTTTACCCTTTGAGCAGTTTTATTTCTAGCCATTTCTCCCAAGGAAATAATTCACATGTGTACGAAGGTGCAGGTACCAAGAGATTCAATGCTGCATTGTCCATTCAAGGGAAATTTTGAAAATCCTCTGAAAGCTCGACAACATTGGGCAACTATACGATGGAACAGCCCTAAAAAGGTTGAAGTGGATCTGCATGTCCTAGCATGGCCAGGTGTGCACCACTGGTGTTGAGTAAAAGAAAGAACGTGACAAAGCTAGATGGGTATGATAAGCTCACCTTCCTGAAGAGTAAACATACATAAATACTACATAGACCCAGGATAGAAATAATAGGAGAAATGACACCAACATATTGGCAGTTAGTCATTTTACATGGTAATTTTGGGGTAATATTTAGTTCTCTTTTTTGTTATAGTCTCTTCTAGTTATTATGTGTTTAATAATAAAATCATTGACTGTGTGCAGGGTTCACGCCTGTAATCCCAGCACTTTGGGAGGTTGAGGTGGGAGGATTTCTTGAGGCCAGGAGTTTGAAACCCTGTCTCTTAAAAAACAAATGATGAAAGGAAGCTTACACAATGCCTGGGAAGGGCCTGGCATGTAGTAATAATAAAATAAAATAAAATAAAATAAAATAAAATAAATAATAACAATAACAACAATAATAATAAAACCATTGAAAGGGCTAGAGTTGGTGGCCTGCAGCTCTCTGCTATAATCACCGTACTTGAGAGGAGCTCATGAGGAAATGTGCCTTGGGTTCATCTTAGCACCTGCTGGAGGGATTTTCTCTGAGAAGTCCAGAATCTGCTTTCAGACCCTCTCCCCAAACCACTCACCCAGGGGCCTCAACCTGGATTTTCCTCCTCTGTGGATGGTTCAGGTGCCAGTCACACCTCTCCCTGTGCCTCTGGCCAGGGTAACACAAGCACCTCGGGCAGGTGGGACATTTTCCTTTTTGGAGCCGAAGCCCTTTCCTGGGCAGCTGTGTGTCTCTCCCCCAGCAGGACAGGGTGGGTGAGAACCCCACCCCAATCCTGAACAGAGCCAAAGTCCAGGAGACACAGTCATCAGCCAAAGGTCAGCAGTACAGCCAACGCCACCTGGGTCCAGCTGCTGAGGAGGAGGTAGAGAGGTTCGTCGTCTGGGCAGCTGCCCTCTGGCCCGCTGCCGGCCTCCCCTGCCCCCACCCCAGCTCCCCAAAGGCCAGGAACATCTGGCTGCTGGCCTAGCTCCAGGAAGGGTGAGCGAAGGGGCCTCTTTCCACCAGGCCCGCCGCTGCCGCGCGGTGCGAGGCACATCAATCAAGACCGCAGAGCTGGCTGGTGCTGGGAGAGGAGCCGGCTCCTTCCCCACCCCCTCCCCAGACATTCCTGCGTAATGGAATCTCCTTTCCTGTTCATTTATTACCAACCCGCAGAACCCCGCCAAGCCCTGTCTGCACACTCAATCCCCACCAACCCTGCTTGTTCCTGGCAAAAGGGGTTCCTGGGGGGACCTGGAAGGAGTGACCCTAACGGCCACTAGCAGATTCCCACAGTACTCCTCTGCCTTCGTGCACTTGCCCAAGGGGTCTGCTCTGCTAAGCACTCACATAGGAGATCTCAAGTGTCTATGCCCGTGATATGAGCACTCTTATCCTTGTGTTAACAGATGAGAAAACTTCAGCTCAGAAATGTTAAGCCACTTGCTCAGAGTCACACAGCAAGGCAATGGCAGAATCTGCCAGATTCCCAAGCCCAAGCTCTTTCTTTTCTTCTGTTGAAAAGACTATTCTTTCCCCCACTGAATGGTCTTTTTTCGAACCCTTGTCAGTTGACCATAGATGTATGGATTTATTTCTAGACTCTCGACTTGATAAATACATATCCTTGTGCCACAGTCATGATTACTGTCGCTCTGCAGTTGCTTTAAAATCTCAACGTGTGAGTCCTCCTGCTGTATTCTTTTTCAGTATTGTTTTGGCTATTCTGGATCCCTTGAAATTCCACATGAATTTTAGGAATAGAATGTCAATTTATATAATTTATATCAGCTAGGATTTTGATAAGGGTTGTGTTGAATCTGTAGATCAATTTTGGGAGTACTGCCATCTTAACAATGCTAATTGAGTCATCTAGTCCAGGAATATATAGTGGTTTCCATTTGTTTCAATCTTTACTTTCTTTCAACAGTTTTGTAGTTTTCAGAGTATAAAATTTGCATTTATTTTGTTAAGTTTATTTATATGTATTTTATTCTTTTTGATGATACTGTGAGTGGAATTGTTAATTTCTGGATTGTTCATTGTGAATGTGTAGAAATACAACTGTTTGTATATCAATCTTATATCCTGCAACCTTGCTGAACTCATTTATGAGTTCTAATAGTTTTTTAGTGAATTTCTTAGGATTTTCTATGTGAAAGATCATATCATCTGTGACTAGAGATAGCTTTGCTGCTTCCTTTCTTTTTTTCTTTTACCTTTACTTATTTATATTTTTATAGAGACAGGGTCTTGCTCTGTCACCCAGGCTGGAGTACAGTGGTGTGATCACAGCTCACTACAGCCTTGAACTCCTGGGTTTACACAATTCTCCAGCCTCAGCCTTCTGAGTAGCTGGGATGACAGGTACATACCACCACACCCGGCTAATTTTTTTTGTTGTTGTTGTTGAAGTGAGGTCTTGCTTTGTTGCCCAGGCTGGTCTCAAACTCCAGGCCTAAAGCAATCTTCTCACCTTGGTGGCCTCCCAAAGCACTGGGATTTTAGGTACGAGCCACCATGTCCAGCCTATGTCTTCCTTTCCAATCTGGATGACTTTTTATTTTCCTTGCCTAATTACCTTGACTAGAACACCCAGAACATGTGGAGAAGAAGAAGCAGGCCTCCTCATCTTAGCCCCTTTCTTCTCTATGTCCTTCCTTTCTTACAGTTCCTTTTCGTCTCCTTCCACCCAATGTGGGGTGGGAATGGTATTAGCAGAGAAGAGAGTCTATATAAGGGAAGTGGCGAGAATAAATTAAGAAAGAAAAAAACAATTTATCAGACACCTACAAGTCTCAAGACTGTATCAGGATCCCCACTGTATAACTGAGAAAACAGAGGCCCAGATAAAAAGATGTGACAATTAACATTTATTGGACACCTACTCCACGCCAAGTATGCAAAATACAAAGATGAATCAGAAACTCAAGGTCAAAAGCTGGAATTTAAACTGGGATGAAAGTAGACCCACACTACCATCTTGGAAAGGAGGGAAGCATAAAAGAAACCTGTCGCTATTGCTCCTAAACCTCTTTAGAAGTGGCGGCTCGGGAGAGCAGACCCACAGTGGGCAGCTCCTTCCCGTAGACAGGTCATCCTGACAGGTGTCCGGGTCTCAGCGGAGAGCAGACCCACAGTGGGTAACTCCTTCCCGGAGACAGGTCATCCTGACAAGTGTCCCTCTCGCAGTGGAGGGAGACCCGCAGCTGGTAGTCCAGACTGTGTGGTCTGGCTGGGTCTGGGTTTCTATGGGCTTAGAAGGGAGAAAGTGCTGCTGATTCATCCATGGGCAGCCATAGGTGGCCTGGAAAAAGCACCAGAAGCTATTCTGGGCTGGGCTGTGGACTTCACCCAGAACAGGCAGCCCAGCACCCAGGCTTCAGGCCATCCCTGGCTTGAAAGTGGGGTTTCACCAGGGACCTGCCCCTTTCTGCCCAGGGACCTGTCTGCCTCTGCCATCAACATGCTGTTCATGGTGTCCAGGCTGTTCATGGCAAGGAGTGCCGGCAGGCCAGTGCTGAGCTGCCCTCAGTCATCCCTGGCCTTCCTCCCATGCTCGTCGGTGCCCAGAGGAGGTCAAGGCGGTGGGGGTGCCGGTGTGTCAGTGCTACCTCGAGTGCGTGCACACCTGGCTGGATTGTGACCAGCACCTGGGCTCAGCCACAGCTTTGCTCCAAAATTGGAGCAGTGCCAGGAGCAGGGAGAGGCCAGGGAGCAGGAGCAGGTATATCGGAGCCTGTCGGGGGAGGGGGACTTCCCAGGCCCCTGAGCACACAGCGATGCCCTGGTCCAGAGCAGCGGCTGTGCCTGGGACCATGGGGCTCCCATCCTGCCTACTTGGTAGGGGGCGGGGCTCCCACCTGTTCTTGGCCCCCTCTGGCTCTGCAGAACGCGCAGCCCTGGTGGTGGCTCCCCCATTGCAGCTGATGTTCCTGCAGCGGCTGCTCTGGACGGGCTGCCGGCGCCATCAGTAGCCACCTTGGTGCTCTATTGTGAGGATTAGATGACTGGTTAATAGATGAAGCTTGTGGCAAAGGGCCTGGCATGCAATGGAGCTATGCCAGTAGGTCCCTCTTCTGCATGCTTGGCACCCTGAGAAGCCAGCCTTGTCGTGCCATGGAGTGTAGGTGAGGCTCTCTGTGCTGGGTACTTCGGACCGGACTTGTCCTTGCTGCCTAGAGCCCTTTGGAGTCATGCAAAAAACTGCTGTGACTTCTGTTCCACTTATAAAATGGGACTCCTTGGCACTTGCCAAGGGCCTACGACATGCAGACCTACTGCTGGGGACTTCCCAGAAAAGGTGATAATTGCAATTGTTATTCTTATCACAGCTCACTATGTGTGTCAGTCAGGGTTCAGCCAGGGAAACACAACTAGTAAGAGATGTATAGTAGGATATTTATTGCAAAGACTTGGCTTACATGATTGTAGGGGCTGGCTAGGTGAGTCTGAAATGCATAAGTGTGACAGTGAATTTTATGTGTTAACTTGACTAGGCCATGTGGTCCCCAGAAATTTGGTCAAACGTTATTCTGGGTTTTCCTATGAGGATGTTTCTGGGTGAGATTGACATGGGAATCACTAAAGGCAGATGGCCCTCGCTAATGTGGGTGGGCCTCATCCTGTCAGTTGAAGAGAACAAAAAGGCTGACCTTCCCTCCCGTAAGAGAGAATGATTTTTGCCTGCTGGCCTTGGAACTGAGACATTAGCTTTTTCTACCTTTGGATTTGAACTGAAATAGCTCTCTTGCCTCTCAGGCCTTCACACTCAGACAAGAATTACATCCTCAGCTCTCCTGGGGCTCCAGCTTGCCAACTGCTGTTCTTGGGACGGGTCAGCCTCCATAATCTGGGGAGTCAATTCCTTATAACAAATCTGTCTATATAAAAACATGTGTGCACACACACAGGTATACACACACATGTATACACATATACATGCACATGCATACACACATGCATGCACACATGTGCACATATGTACATGCACAAGCATGCACACACAAATGCACTGCACATATGCACACACCCAAGAACCCATGTGCATGCACCAACACACATGCACACACGTGTGCACACATAAACACACACGTGCACACATACACACACACACGCATGCATACACCCTCTATTGGTTCTGTTTCTCAGGGGAACCCTGACTAACACAGCAGGGCAGGTTGTCCAGAAGGGCAGGTTGGAACCCTCAGGCACAGCAGGCACTGAAGCTGGTGTCCACAACTTTTCTTCAGGGAAACTTCAGCTCTGCTTTTAAGGCCTCAAACCACTCAAATCAGGTTCATCCAGATCATCTCAGATAGTCTCCCTTACTTAACAGTCAACTGATTATGGACTTTAATCACATCTCTGAGATACCTTCACAGAACACCTAGATCAGTGTCCGACTGAGTATCTGGTGACCATAGCCTGGCCACTGATGACCACAACACCTGCCGAGTGTGATGGCGAGCACACGACTGCATAGCAGCTGATTTGTCTCCCCAAAAATCCCATGAGGAAGATGTTTTTAGAAGAACATGTCTTGCCCAAGGTGACACAGCTGGCCAGGGGGAGCGCTGGGGTTACAAGCCAGGTTGCCTTCCGAGCACAGCCTGAGCTACTCTGAGGCTCTGAACCCCTAACCCACCTTCCCAGCCCTCATAGAGGCCCCTGTGGTGGGAATCTTTTCTCTGCTTCTGGAGGACACAGAGGCTCCGAGAGGGCAGGTGGCTGCCCCAGTCACAACACTGGGAGGTGGAGGCTGTTCCACTTCAGCTCTAGGCCCCTCCTCACAACAGTCGCCTGCTCGCTCTCTTCCCTAAGCAGTCCACCCCAAAGGACAATGCTGAGTTTGTGCCCAGGAGCTCTCTGTGTGATACAGGCACCCCTCCCTCCGGGCCTGAGCATCGCCCCGTGTAAAGAGGGACATGGCCCTTCCAGGTTTGAGGTCAGGGGCCCTGGCCTTGGAGCACAGGGTAGAATCTCAGGACTCCTGGCTCCAGGGAGCTCCTATTTTGGGACTAGCCCTACCCTTGGGAGAAGGGGCTGAGGGTATCTCATGGGGGCTACTCAGTTAGGACCAAATACCCTCAGATGGCCTCCCTCCCAGAGGGAGGGTCAGTTAGCGGGGGTGAGCAGGGGATAGGAGAGGTGAGCAGGGGTGAGCAGGGGAGAGCAGAGGTGAGCAAGGGTGAGCAGGGGAGAGCCAGGGAGAGCAGGGGAGAGCCAGGGAGAGCACTGCCCAGTAGAACATGTGTTCCTGGGGAAACCAGGGTGCCTCCTGAGAGACAGGCCCCCCAAAGGGTCCCAACACAGCCGAGCCTATGGTCAGTCCCGGCCATGGCCCAGCCCACTTGCCCGCCCTTTCCTGTGACAGCCTCGGTGCCCGGGGAGGCGGCCCCTGAACAATGCTTCACTCTGTTCTTGGCCTGGGCAGGGGCAGCTACTTCAGCCACACCTCACACGGGATGCAGATCCCACACTCCCCTGCTCTCCCTGGCTCTCCCCTGCTCACCTCTGCTCTCCCCTGCTCACCCCTGATCACCTCTCCTATCCCCTGTTCACCCCCTCTAACTGGCCTCAGGAAACCCAGACACTCCACACTTAGCACCCTCCCAGCTCCCTGACAAGCCACAACTCAGAGGTCAGGAGTGACAGCCAAATGACTTAGGGGCCCTGGGCTGGGGGTTGGGGATGGCACACCCTCAAGGCCAGCCATGAGCAAAAAGCCTACCCAGCCAATGTAGCCCCACCTTTGCTCAATTGCATTGACCAGGCCTCCATCATCATTTGGTGAATGAGGAGAGGGGCTCAGAGAGGCTGGGCAGCTTGCCTCTGGTCACACAGCCCAGGAGCAGCAGAAGTGGAACTCAAACCCAGGTCTTGTGCCTCCAGAGCCCATGGTCTTAACCACTGCACAAAACTGCCTTTAGGAAACCCCAAAGCGATCATGAGTCCAAGGACTCCGAGGCACCTTGCATGGATTTCAGCACATATGCATGGTTGCGCACATGCACACACGCGCATACACATGCACGCACACACACGCACGCACACACATACATACACACGCCTTCCTAGGTAACCAAGCCCCATAGATGGGGCCTGCCCTTCCCAGGCAGCCTTGAAAAGGGCCTTGCAAGGGTCTGAGACATTCCAAGCCTGGTTCCCACCTTCACCTGGAGGGGGCCTCTCTGCCTCCCACATCCCCAGACTGGACGTAAGAGTCAGAATCACAGTTCAGAGTCCCCTTGGTGTGTGTACATGGCTTGGGTAGGTCAGTCCCACCCCAGAGCACCCCCAGCCTGCCAGGCCTCTGGGTCAGTCAGATCCCTCCCCCAACCTTCTCAAGGCCCACAAGCTCCGGGCCAGGCCTGACTTCCGGAGCTGCCGCCACCTTGGCTGGCCACACCACACATGGTTTTAATCAGCAGCCTGCCTGGATGAATGGTGCCTTGTGAGAGCGCCACAGGGCTCACCTCCACAGCAGGGCCAGGACAGGCCAGGTGGGGCAGCCTCAAGAAGGGAGGAGTGTGAGGGGGACCCCATGTGGGGGTCAGGCTGGGGGTGAGGAGGACAGGGGGGACAGCCTAGCACAGCAGTCATAAGCCAGGGTCTGTGGCCAGATAGAGAGCAGGGGTCCTGGCTCTGCCACCCCACAGTCTGCGTCCAGGCAACTCATGGAACCTCTCTAAGCCCGGGCCCCACCCTGCATATAAACGGAGTCCCTTATGGGGGGCTGTAAGGATTTCATTTGAGGGTACTTGGTGGATAGTGTGGGCCTGACGTATAGTATGCACTTTGTACCTAGAGGCCAACTCAGGGCCAGGGGCAGGGGACTCACACTTCGATTTAATGGAAGAGTGGAGAGAACTCACCTTGGAGCAAGGTGGCTGACCTCCAAAGAAGCTAGGGGTGGCATCTACGGTTGACTCTGGTTTCCTCAGTTCCGGGACCTCGGCCTCCGCTGCTCCCTCCACCTTTCAAAGGGCCTCACAAAGAGAGGTAGGGGGGCAGACCTCAGCTCCTCGAAGGACCCACCTCACCTCCCTCCATGGCAGGCAAAGCTTCAGACAGTACTCATTAATGTTTATTGAGCACTTACTAGGTGCTGCACCCGGGCATTTCATGCATAAGCTCATCTAATCCTCCTCTTATGACTGTTTTCATTTATGTATAACAAAACTATGACTCAGAAAGGGTAGGCAACCAGGCCACGACCACACAGCCAAGGAGAGGCAGAGCTGGGATATGACACTGCGGAGCCCTGTCCCTGCTCTTGCCTCAACTCCACCCACCCTGTGTCCTGTCGAGGGAGCACCATTTCCCACAGGGGTGGCCTGCACTGGGCAGCCTGTCTCAGGGAGCGGAGAGTGCCTTCTCCTTGGGCCTCCAGTGGACGGAGCTGTCTCCCTCACTGGCAACCCTACTCAGCCTCCCTTCCCTCCCACAGGGCCCCCGAAGACCCCGTTCCCAGTGCGCAGGACCCGTGTCCTCCTCCCTGCCTCTCTCCCAGCACCCACGCAGCCTGGCTCCTGGGTGTCTGAGAAATTATGGGAGGGAGGGAGAAAACGTCAAGAGAGGGCCCAAACCTTGTCACACGTCTCCTCACTGAGCCATCATGGTGGTCCTGTCATGTGGGGTAAAATGCAGACTCCTGTCACCCCTGCTGCACCCCTGCCCCTAACCTCTACCCTGCGGACTAAGGCTTTCAGGTCCTCTGCAGCACTGGCTCTGCCGCTCATCTCCAGGCTGTGCTCATCTTTCCCCCTGCCTGGTATCCTCTCCTTTTCCACCCTGGCTAACTGGTGGTCCAAGACTCCACCAAGCCCCACATACTAGGAAGACTGTGTGAAGCCCCTCCGTTCCACCCCCACCCGCTAGAACAGCCCCTGGAGCACTTCTGGGAGTAGAGCTCTGGGACCTCTGGGAGTTGCTCCAATTTCAGAGTCCATTTCTGCAGAGGAAGGATTGCATCCTCTTTCCTCTGTTGGAGATGAGGACATCACCTTTGCAGACTGGTTTTGTCTCGTTCCTCTTCAAATTCAATTATCTGCAGAGCCGCGGGGGCTGCACTCACATGCCCACATGGGTATCACTTGCCAAGTTAAGCTCCCAGCCTTTCAGTGGTTCTCTGAACTCAGCTGAGACCATTTCTAGAGGAGGTGTTTAAAGAATAAGGCATCCTGCTGTCTTCTACATAGATTAGGATGTCTCCCTCAAGCTGACTTGACCCAGCTAAGAACCGGGTGGGCACACCTTATTGGGTGCTCCCCTCACCCAGAGTCTCCCCGACCTCCCTGCCCTTTGTATGACGGGTCAGCGAGGGCCATTAGGGAAACAGTCCTGTGGAAATAACTAGAAACATGCTCAAGGGTTAAGCCACAAAAATGTTTTGCATAGCTTTGTTTATGACACTAAAAAAATACCTAGAATAACCCACATATTCAACAATTAAATAAAGTGTGATACATCCATAAAATGGAATTCCATAAAGAGGGTTATTTAACACCACCAGGAGATGCTCACAATTTATCTGTAAGTGAAAAAAGCAGATGATAACATCTTACAACATCTTACGCTGGAAGAGAAAAACCTCCGGGCAGTTCAGTGAACGAAACTGAGGGGTGTAGAATGAGGGGTGCTTCAGAGTGCAGACTTGGAAGCTGGAGGCCTGGGTCCTCTGGCAGCCTCTGCCCCCTTGCAGCCAAAAAACTTTGGGCCATTCACCAAACCTAAAGAGCCAGAGGTGGCCATCTGTACAAGTGGGATCATATTGTACCTACAGACATATACTAGCCACTTAGCACACTGTGTGTGGCCAGCAACAGACATACAGACTAATGCAACAGACATTATAAACATCACGCAAGGGCTTATTTCCATATTATGTGTGATTTTCATTTTCTTACATTTGCCTATTTGTATTTTTAAATTTTTCTGCAATGAATGTTATTACTTGTATTAACTTAAAAGTAAAAGCAAACATGACCTTACAAGGAAACAGCCCAGTGGAACTCATTCCTGTGTTAATGGCCAGCATGTTGTTAAGGACGTTGCTCATTATGCTGCCCTAGTGAGATTTTCTGGGAGAAACTATGATCTGCTCTCAGAACCAGGAGGCTTCCCTGGTCACACTGGCTGCCTGTGGGCTTCAAACAGCTGTATACTAACCTCAATGCCCAATGTGAAAGAATCATCTAAATAAACTATGACACAGCTCTACCATGTACACCAGTTTCTCATGTACACGGGAGAATGTCTGACAGATTTCCACCGAAGAGTTAGAAGTATTACTGGGGGACAGGAAGGAGGGGGACACTTGAGCCTTAAATTTTGTGCACTTCACTAACGATTGCAATTCTTTCACAATAATCTTGTATTCTAATCAAAATAGAAATAACACAATTTGATGTAGTAGAAAAATATTTAGTAACACATAAAGATGTTGACAATTTATTATGATTTAAAAGAGTTTTGTAGGCTGGGCACAGTGGCTCACGCCTGTAATCCCAGCACTTTGGGAGGCCGAGGTGGGTGGATCATTTGAGGCCAGGAGTTCATTCAAGATCAGCCTGGTCCACATGATGAAACTCCCCCTTTTTTTTTTTTTGAGATGGAGTTTCGCACTGTCGCCTGGGTTGGCGTGCAATGGCATTATCTTGGCTCACTGCAACCTCCACCTTTCAGGTTCAATCGATTCTCTTGCCTCAGCCTCCTGAGTAGCTGGGATTACAGGCGTCCACCACCACACCCAGCTAATTTTTTGATATTTTTAGTAGAGAAGGGGTTTCACTGTGTTGGCCAGCCTGGTCTCAAACTCCTGACCTCGTGATCTGTCCGCCTCAGCCTCCCAAAGAGCTGGGATTACAGACATGAGCCATTGCGCCCAGCTGTGAAACCCCCTCTTTACTAAAAATACAAAAACTAGCCAGGCATGGTGCCACACACCTATAGTCCCAGCTACGTGGGAGGCCGAGGCATGAGAATCTAATCACTTGAACACAGGAGGCGGAGGCTGCAGTGAGCCAAGATCGCAACGCTGTGCTCCATCCTGGGTGACAGAGCAAGACTCTGTCTCAAAAAATAAGAATAAAAATAAAGGGGGTTTGTAAAATACAGTGTATGCATATTATCCTTTCTGCAAAAACAACTTTATATATCAGACAGAAAGGAAATGTCCTAAAACACGAACCATGGTTACCAGGTTGGTGGGATACAGACATTTAAATTTTCTTCTTATGTGTCTGTATGTTCTAAAGTTTCCACGATGGAGATTTATAACTCTTGTGATGAAAGAAAAAAAATGCATTTTCTTAAAAGGAAAGATTTGGCCCCAGCTCTCCCCTGCCCTGAGTGCCTAAGTCACAGCAGACTCGTTCTTAGCCTTCTCGCCTCCTCGCTCCTCACCTGGCCATGTCTGTTTCCCACCCGCTTTCATATGGGCCACCTTGCTGTTCTTCCTGTGTCCTTGTAAAGGCACTGAAATCCTTGTTAGAACCAGGCAAGGCAGAAGCCAGGACACAGGCCCAGCCCACCGCTCCCCATCCAGTGGTCCCCCAGTCACCCGCCGCCGCCTCCTGGGGCATTGTTCTCATTAGTGGGGATGCAAAGCAGACCCAACGGCGGAACTATAAACACCAGAGGCAGAGACCCATAAACAGCTGGGTAACCAACTCCAGTTGTGCAGATGAGCCCTGGCCACACTGGGGGGCAGATGGGGGCTGGGCTGGCCACTGAGGAATTGCCCTTTGCCTGTCCTTCTTAGGCCACGAGCTGCCAGGATCCGGGTGGGCACCATTAGTTAGAGAACTGGAGGATGAAGGGTCTGCACAAGCCTAACTGAGATGACATGCAAGTGAGCAGAGGTCTGGGGGCCAAGGATTCTCAAGCACCTGAGCCCCATTACCTATGCACCTGGGCCTCGATTTACCTATCTGAAAATGGGGAAGAAAAGAAGTAACGGACTAGATGGGCTTTCTCAGCTCTACTACATCATGACCCATCCATAAATCAATACACTAGGCCTAAATGCCTGTCATGTATCTGTCTGTAATATAACAAAACTATATCCTATGCGAGAACATAAACAAATGTTTATCTGTATTATAACCCCATACATATTACATGTTTTATATCAGCCTCTTTAATGTTATGTTTCTAAATGTTTAATGACCATCTCTGGATATCTGTGATCAGAGAATCTATGGAGGCAAGTCAGGAAGACCTCCTGGGAGAAGGGAGACTTAAAGCCTATGAATTCAACAGGCAAGAAGAATGAGCCTCCAAAAAGGTTATAATGGAGGAGAAGGGAGGGATTTGAGTGTGAGGGGATTTATAGGGCTGTTGAGGGTCATCCAGGGAAGGGATCCATGTCCATCTTCCACCCTAGAAACAAAGCTCTGGCACGGGAGAGGGCAGGGAGAAAGCACACTGGACTGAAGTGACTAAGATTTGCCAGCCCCAGAAGCTCCCAAACCTGGTTACATAACAGGACTACCGGGGAACTTGGTAAACCACAGACTCTTGGGCCCTTCCCGGGGCTCCTGAATCAGAATCTAGGACAGTAGTGTCTGAATATTTGAATTTTTATTAATTCCCTGGTGAATTCTGAGGCTAGAAGTCTGTTACAGGTGGGTGTTTGGGAACCTCTGGCCCAGAGTTCTCAGTGTTTGTGGATTGGATGTAGGGCAGGAGGGTCACCCATGATTTTCACATCCTGTCCTGTGTCTGATCGACCAACACAGGGTACAGTCATTGCCAGGCAGCTGGTGCCACCCTATGCTTGGGGCCTGATGGGACTGGAGACCCCTGAGAAGCTCATCACCTAGTGAGGGGCCCAGACCCCCGTATCAGCCATCTGAGCTCAGTGCTGGATGTTGGAATCTTCTCAGGTGGCACAGCCCAAAGGGTGGATGCTGGAGGAGCCCAGAGGAGCGAAAGCAAACCCCTGAAAGCAGGACTAGGAAGGGGACCATATAAGGTTTTCTAGAGAAGATACCCTGAATGACGGAGAGGATTCGGGTGATAGAACAGGAAAGGAACAAACAGGCTAGGTGGAGGGGATGACGGAATCAAAAGCGAGAAGTGCAGATGCAGTAGAGGTAAAAAACATGTGGGGACCATTTTATGGTCATATGGTTTGTCAGGGGCTCTCTCTGTTGGGCACTGTGAAAAGGCAATGTGGTGAACAGCCTGGGCCAGGGGACCAGAGAGCACATCTCCCATGTCATAGGCAGCTGGCCCAAGGTCCCAAAGAAAAAGCCCAAGCCTGGGACTCCCCCATGTACCTGGAGGAGACTCTCCCCCTCCACCAGGCCCAGCCATGTGACTCTCCCAGTTCCCCCATCTGGGATCACATGAGGCAGGCATGGGCAGGGGAGAGTGGCAAGTTCCAACTCTGACCCCAAGATCAGAATCTCCTTTTCCAGAGGGGCCTCTGAAGCCAAGTCAACTCTGATCAAGGTCACATCTCCCCAAGTCAACTCAGTCCCAGTTGCCATTTCTACCCATACCCCTTCTTCACACTCTAAACATTTTCTATGTGATTATAAAAATAGTGAGTCGCCTGGGTATGGTGGCTCACACCTGTAATCCCACACTTTGGGAGGCTGAGGTGGGTGGATAACCTGAGGTCAGGAGTTCCAGACCAGCCTGGTCAACATGGCAAAACCCCACCTCTACAAAAAATACAAAAATGAGCCAGGTGTGGTGGCACATGCCTGTAGTCCCAGCTACTCGGAGAGGCTAAGCCAGGAGAATCACTTAAACCTGAGATGTGGAGGTTGCAGTCAGCTGAGATCGTGCCACTGCACTCCAGCCTGGGAGACAGAGTGAGACTCCATCTCAAAAACAAACAAAAAACAACAACAACAACAAAAACAGTAGAGTCAAACTGGAGACAAAAAAATACAAAACACAAAACCTCACTGAAAACAATTAAGGACAATATACATAAATGGAAAAAACATCCCGTGTTCGCAGAGTGGAAGATTTCATATTGTTAAGATCATAATACTACTCAAATTGATCAACAGATTTAACTCATCCCTATCAAAATCCCAGGTACATTTTTTGCAGAAATTGACAAGTCGATACAAAAATTCACAAAGAAATGCAAAGAACTCAAAACAGCCAAAAATCATCTTGAAAAGGAAGAACAAATCTAGAAGACTCACACTTCTTGATTTCAATAATTACTACAAAGTTACAGTAATCAAGACTGCATGAAACTTGCTTGAGGATAGACAAACAGATCAATAAAATAGAATTGAGCATATGTGTACATACTTACATTTATGGTCAACTGATTTTTGACAAGGGTGCCATAACAATTCAATGGGGGAAAGAATAGTTTTTTAAATAAATGATGCTGGGACTACCAGATATCCACACACAAAAGACTGAAGTTGGACTCCTACCTCACGCCATATACAAAAATTAACTCAAAATGGATCAAAGACCTAATGAACTGTCTGATTAGAGTCTAGTATCCAGAACACATAAAAAGCTGTTACAACTCAACAACAAAAAGAGAAATGACCCAATTCGAAAATGGGCAAAAGACTTGAACAAACATTTCTCCAAAGAGACATATAAATGTCCATCAAATACATAAAAAGATAATCAACATCAGTAGTCATTAGGGAAATGCAAATCATAACCACAATGTGGTAACACTTCACATCCATTAGGATGGCTATAATTTTTTTTTAAATGGAAAATAAGACCAGGCTCACGCCTGTAATCTCAACACTTTGAGAGGCCGAGAGGGGAGGATCACTTGAGCCCAGGAGTTAGAGGCTGCAGTAAGCAATGATCATACCACTGCACTCCAGCCTGGGCAAGAGTGAAACACTATCTCTTTAATACTAATAATAAGGCCAGGCACATTGGCTCACGCCTGTAATCCCAGCACTTTGGGAGGCTGAGGTGGGCAGATCTCTTGAGCCCAGGAGTTTGAGACCAGCCTGGGCAACATGGCAAAACTCTGTCTCTACAAAAAATACAAATTTTCCGGGTATGGTGGTGCACAACTGTAGTCCCAGCTACTCAGGAGGCCAAGGTAGGAGGATCCCTTCAGCCTGAGGGGAGGAGGTTGCAGTGAGCCATAATCCCGTCACTGCACTCTCGCCTGGGCAACAGAATGAGACTCTGTCTCAAAAATAAATAAAATAAAGTGGAAAAAAAAAAAACAAGTTTTGGCGAGGATGTGGAGAAATTGGAACCCTTGTATACTGCTGGTGGAAATGCAGAATGATTCAACTGCTGTGGCAAAAAGTTTGGTGACTCCTGAAAAAGTTAAACATAGAATTACCTTATGACCCAACATTTCCCTCCTACATCTATACCTAAAGGAATTTCAAACAGATACTTGTACATGAGTATTCACTGCAGTACTATTCACAATAGCCAAAAAGTGGAAACAACCCAATGTCCATCAACTAATGAATGGATAAACAAACATACCAATAATGGAATCGCAGTCAGTCATTTAAGTATTAACACAAGCTACAACATAGATGAACCCTGAAAGCACACTGAGTGAAAGAAACCAGGCACAAAAGGCCACATATGGAAGGATTCCATTTATGGGAAAT